AACATATAGGAATGCAAGGGAACCTTAATAACACAACAAATATGGTACTATCTGCCTAGAAAAGAAAAAGAAGGAGAAGTAGGTGACTTTCCTGAGAAGATTCTAGAATTGCACTGGTACTGCTAATGATTTCATCATTGGTCTGGATACTCAGATTCTTGCACTAAAGTTTAACTCTTTGATCTGAGATGACATATTTAACAGACGTATGGCTTAGTTTCTTCACCTATAAAGTGGAAAAATAATTAGCATGGAGGCATAGAAAAATAATTAGCGTGAGCCCATGTGCAATTAGCTCTCCACCCTAACTTTTCTGAATTACTATTGAGAATATGATTGATATACTCAGGTGGCTACCTACATTGTTGAATCCAGTTTGTGGCTGAATTTGTTCTGAGACAAAGGTAAGTTACAACAATTTTCTTCTAGACACCTACCTATGCCAAATCCAGCTTCTCTGCTCAACCAGATTTCTTAGTCATGCTACATTTATTTATAGCTCTCCTTTAAAAAATATCCAGCATACATATTCATGAATAGATAGGGTAAAATTGGAGACAAATTATGGCCACTTTTGATGTTATTTGACAGCCATTTTCCTTTCTTCCTACAGTAGTGACTTCTACTTTCCTTCCTCCTCTGTCCTCAGACATGTGGAAGGAGTTTGTCCCACAGTGATCATCAGGAGACTCAGTTGGAACTAAGGAGACTTTTGTTTGCAAATTTTCTCTTTTCTGTGGATCTGATTATGAGAGAATGCACTTGATATCTTGAGTAACCCATTCTCCCCCTCTCTCCATCCTATTCTATACTCAGAGGAAAACTGTTCTGCACAGTATTTAGGTTCCACTGGGCTTCTAGTTGATTTCAGCGATGAGGAGTATCAGCAGGAGGCCAGAGGACAGAAGAGTGAGGCTGGGATATTCTTCTCCTGACTCCTCCTGTGTGGGTGTTAGGGTTGGATACGGATTACCTCCCAACAGTTCATAGGAACTTGGTCCCCAGTGTGGCAATGTTAATAGGTGGTATGAGCCTTAAGAGAAGCAGCCCAGTAGGAAGTCATTATTTCATTGAACATGCTATCTTTGGAAAGGATTAATGTAGTTCTCAGGATACCACAGTTAGTTTTCAAGAGGGGGATTGTCATAACAGAGCAAGACCTACTCCTCCCTGCTCTCTGGCTTCTGGTCTCACCATGGAATCTTTTTGCATGGATTCCCATGATGATGATGCCTTGGGGCCCTAACCAGAGCCCACTCTATACTGTTTAGACTTTGTGCCACAAAATTGTGAATTTAATAAACCCATTTTCTTTATAAGGCTCTCAGCTTCAAGTGTTTTGTTATAGTAATTATACAGTGATGTTGCTGCAAGTTGTCTGAAGTGTTCTACTGAAGACCTGAGCTCCTGAGAGATGACTCTCTGTCTAGGTTTTGGTAACCAATCTCTGCTGCCTTCTCAACCTTCAATTTTATGCTTTCCTCAGATTATCCACTTTGAGTGCCTTGTCTTTTCTGCATTTGATCCTAACTAGACAGAGAACGAAGTTCTGGGCTTACTCACAGTCTTTGGGATATCTCATGGGGTTCAAGAATAAGACTGACATGAAGTAGAGCCAAGGGAAGGAGAGGTATAGGGTCCTGGCCCTATTGGCTGACCGTCTGACTCTGGTCATGCCCAAAGATATCACACTCTGATTTGTAAATTACATGAGCCTGTGTGTTTCCTTTTCTATCGAAAATCTTGAGTTGGGCTTTCAATCACCTGAAACAGAATCTTAAAATATAACTGAAAGTATAGCTCTAAAATGAAGACATACAGATCCATGATCCCAAGAACTCTAAATTTTACCTAAATACAATCCAGTCTCCATAAGACCCCATCCTACCTCAGATCCTGTTTTCAGAGTTCTCTGAGATTCTTTCTTACACATCAGGAGTATCCTTACAATATTTACTGTCTTGACCCAAGTTAACATAAGTAAATCGCAGTTCCTTGGAGTAATAAAACAGTCCCTGTTTTACAGATAGGAAAATAAAGGCCAAGATATATGAAGACACTTTATCCAAATCAGAGGTTCTGTCAAACCTGGACTTGGCAGGCAGGTCTTTGGGCCCAGGATCTCTCCATGCCACCTCAGTTTCCTTATGTTCCCTTTCCCTTCTTCACTAGGCTTTTTACCCCCTTCTCTGTATGGCCCTGTAGCCTAGGTCACGTCACATTATCTCAGCATCTTAATGAGAAGGTGCCATCCATCAATGAAGGAAAGCCCAGGTTTGTCTTTCTCTGAGTTTCCATTTCTTTTTTGTATATTCATTTGGTATTTAGCATGACTACCCTATGAAAATCTGGGGATGTTTTATAATGTTTAACCTGTACTTCCATTAAGCTTCCCAACTATATATGGACTGCCTTCCTATGTGAGAGGAAATATATCTGGTATTTGATTCATCTTTGAAAAAAATCTATATTGCCTAGCACAGTATCTACTTCACTTTAGATGATCAATATATATCCATTGACAGGACTGACTAAAAGGATCTTACATTAGGTAAAATGCTGTCTAAGCTGTTGTAGAAAAATTACAGAAGTTTATTTCCTCTCCATTGCCCAGAGGTGGACAGGCAGTCTCCAGGGAAGGTTAACAGTTCTGCTCTATAAAATCATCCAGGACTCAGGTTCCAACTTCTTTCTCTATTAACCTCAAGGGTGTTTTTCTCCTCATAGTCAGTGCTGTTTCACCGGTGTAGCATTCACATTCTTTCTATCCTAAGGAAAGGAGAAAAAAGAAAATGAAGGGAAAGCAGGTAGCCTCTCTATTAAAAAGTGATCCAAATTTTCATGTATAATCTTTGCTTGCATCTCATTGGCTAACTTTTTGTCACATGATCACACCAGTTTACAAGTGATGCTGGGAAATACAGCATCTAAATGGGCAGTTATGTGTTCTAATAAAACTCAAAGCTCTGTTGGTAAAAGAGTCATTTGACTAATGAATTGTTGAAATTAAAAGATTGCTAATACTAAGTGAGTAGGGGTGTGAAATTGCACATCTACCTTAGAGAACTCTTTGGTCATTTCTCTTCTAGCCATTTACCTAAGAGTAATGGAAACATTAGCCCACAGAAAGACTAGTACAAGAATGTTCATAGGAACCTCATTCACAATGGCCAACAATTGGAAACAATCCTCATGTCCATCAAAAGCCAATGTTTAAACATGTGAGATATTTATACTGAAATAGTGGAAGGTGACTCAGCAATAAAAAGGATTGAATTTCTGATACATGAAACAACCAGGGTTGACTCACCCATTTGGCATAATAGGCATAATTCTGAGACCCATGAAAATAGCTTTTAGATTGAAGAAATATTGATTGTATAATATTGGAATATCCATCTTTACAAAAACACATGCAGATGAAATAATTCTTAAGATGTATGTATATATATATATATATATATTTTTTTTTTTTTTTTTTAATGAAGGAAGGGGCCCATGAAGTGCTTAGGGCCCACACAAGTCATAATGCAGCCCTATGAACAACCAGGATGAGTATTTAAATGCAGGTTAAACAGAAAACCGAGATACAAAATAGTGCAAGCTGTACAATTCCATTTAAACGCAATTCTAGAAGCGGCAGAACTAATCTATATTGAAAGTAATCAGAAAGTGGTTAGCTCTGGGGTGGGGAGAGGCTCTGAAATGGAGGGATGAAGGCACTCTGGAATAGCAGAGAATGTTCTACATCTTCTATATCTATGTTCTATATCTTGGTTTTGGGTAGTGTATTTTGATTTATGTACGACTTTCTAAAATCATAGAACTGAACTTTTAGGATCTATACATTTTGTTGTATATTATGCTACGATTTTGAAAAAGAAAGAAGGGGGAAGGGCACTAGGGCACAATTAATCATCTCTGTGACAGATCTGATAAATGAATTGCGAAGAGGTGTCAGCTGAGGAGGTTTACTGTTGCATTTGGGCACTTAAACAAAAGAGTCCACACACTGTGAGAAATGAACCACTCTGCTCTGTACTGTCTGTTTTTGTTGTTGTTGTTGTTGTTATTTGTTTTAATCACAGCAACAGATCTAGTTGGCTTAAGAAGAAAAAGAGCTTATTGTCAGAATAAGAGGAAGCATTCAGGACACCTTCAAATCAGAGGAAAGATCACGCCAGAGGCAAAGCAGAGGAAACATCAGGCCATCAGATCACTTGGGGGCTTGACCATCTATGCCTTTGTCACCATCTATGCCTTTGCCCACCTAGAGAGATTCAGCTCAGGCTTTCACGCATCTTTTCACAACTTCCCCCAAAGAGGAAAAACCAGTATGGAAGCATCTGATTGGCCGGGTCTAGGTCAGGCCAACATATAACTCCCAAGGAAATAGGAGTGGGAATGTGTCACTCAGTTTCTAAGCTTGGAGGTGGGGCCCCAGCATGATCAGTGTTCACAGCACAATCCGTCTACATTGTTCATATTCTGGCTTTGTCATTCTAACACCTGTCCAGGACTTTCAAGACCCAGGACAGGCCTAATGTGGACAGTTATGTTCCAAACCCCTGATCACACTATGGAGTGTGACCCACAGTCTTTGGTGTGCAATACCATTACCGCTGCAATCACCTAGAAACAGGCCAAGACCTGGGTGGAGGTTGGATGGTTATAAATTTTTGACGTGGTGAATATAAGATGAAGATTTTCAATAGACAGGCCCTCAATACACAGCTTGAGGGGCCAGTTAAGGTCAAGTCTTGGACGTCTTCTGGCTGGAGCTTGTGGGAGCTGAGCCCAGACGGTGGGGAGGAGCGAGGGAAGGCTGTTCCTGAGGATTCCATCCATCACTAGCAAAGGATCTTCCCAGGCTAAGGCGCAGCCTCCGCGTGGCGCACAGGTCCTCGAGTCCCCGCGCCCTTTCCGAGGTCCGCCCCTTAGGGCGGGGCGAGGCAGCGACGCTGTAAAGTCACCCGGAAGACAGAGCCGGGTAGGTGCGGGCTACGGCTTGGCTTCTCGACCCCTGGGCTGGCGGCGGAGGCCTGCCCGATGCCCGGGCCTGCAGCGCTGAGCGCCGCGGCGGCGGTGGCACTGGTGGCCGCCCTGCTGCTGGCGTGGCGTGAGGAGGCGGGGCCGGGGACCGGCCCCAGGTAACTCCTCCGGGTAGGGGACCGAGCTGGGCCCTGCACTCTTCCCGGGACCCTGGAAACCGCGGGGAAAGAGGCTGGTGGTGCCAGCAGTTTGTGGCACCTGGACAGACCAGCTCGGTCCCCTTCCGAGGTGTCTGCTGGGGCCATTGGGAGGCGGCTAAAGTGCCGCGCCCCGTAGGTGACTCAGCACTTTCCCCTGAGCTGGAATGACAGCCCCGGTCCTCTGGGGTAGGGACGGGGCAGTCGTTTAGCATCCTCAGATCAGCACCTGTGGATTTTTTTTTCCCAGCAAACCCAAGCTGCCGAAGCTTCGGGAAGACTTCAAGATGCAGAATAAATCCGTCTTTATCCTGGGCGCCAGCGGGGAAAGTGGCAAAGTGCTGTTAAAAGAAATCCTGGAACAGAACCTGTTTGCCAGAGTCACTCTGATTGGCCGGAGGAAGCTCACCTTTGAGGAAGAAGCATATAGAAACGTGGTGGGTATTTGAGCTAGGAATCGAAAATGTAGCCGCATCGATTTTTTAAAGATGAACGTATTTCATGCCCGAAGGTTGAACCTTGCTAGGCCAGTGGTGGCAGCCAGAGAAACTGATCTTTGAAAGTTCCTCCAGGGAGCCTGCCTTGTAGGCCTCCCTTCACCATGTGTCCTTGAGCAAAGACTTGACTACATCTAGAACTAATAAAGTGGGACCTACAAGGTAAGGCGGGTAGGAGAGACAGGAAAACACTATTTTTAGTTCAGACAAGCTGGTTTCTGGGAATGGTCCTGCCAAACCTTGGCGGTTTTCTCAACGACTTTGCTTATTTTGTCTACCTGGACACTTCACATTAATGTTATGAGAACCTGAAAATGCCTTGCAGAGTGGGAAAGATCTGTGGCAGTGAACAGTGATCTCCTTGGGTACAAGAATCTGCCCTGGGCTGGAATTGCAGCCCAGTGGTAGAGCACTTGCCTAGCACGTGTGAGGTACTGGGTTCCATCTCAGCACTACATAAAAATAAATGAATAAAATAGTTGTGTCCATCTACAACTAAAAAAAAAACAAACAACAACAACAACAACAAAAAACTGCCCTGCCTGACTTCCCAGGCTTGTGTCTATAAACATTATCTTCACTGTAAGTTATACTTTCAGTGTAAACAGATGATATACCAGACTTCCATCTGATGATAATACTCTAATACCTGAACTCTGAGCTTCCTGAAGATTCTTTGCTCCCTGTGTTATCTTAACATGTGTTATCTGTGAACTGCAGCAAATTGAACAAAATGGTGTGCTCCTGAGACAACTGTAGAATTTAGTCCCACAGGTTTCATTGGAGGAACGTTCTGAATAATAAACGCACTCACCAGTAAGTGTTTTTGAGTCTCCCAGGTTTATACTCAAATCATGTTGTGAATGTTTTTAGTCCATCAGGACTGGCCTGTTTGAAACAGACGTGTTTTGCTCAGGCTTAGATAGGTGTTAGATGGCCTTCATAATCTAGTTTCTTGAGCAGTGTGAAAAATTCCTGGTAATTACAATTTGAGATTGAGATCTGTGCTTTGAGAGTAGAGTTTGGGTGGCACATCTTTTGTGAAGATCTTTTTCTTCAGTGTTATATGCAGTGTAAGGAAAATTCTTTTGAAAGAGTTGATAGTAGTAAAGGGAACCAACATTTTATTTAAATTCCTGGATGATGAAACTTCTCATTTTCTTAAATTTATTCACAATAGACTTAAAAAGTTAGGTGCAGGTGCTTAAATTTCAGTGGGCATTAGAATTCCTGTGGGTGCTTGTTGAATATACAGAGTCTGAGTCAGAAGTATTGGCATGGGATCTAGAATTTTTTTTTTTTAAGCACCTTCTGGCTGATTCTAATGCAGGTAGCTCGTGAGTTGGACAGAAGGAGAGATTATCATCCACATTTTGCATGTCTTTTTTTTAATCTTTCTATAATAAATTAAAATTGAATCTGATATTAGAAATCTGGATCACCTCTTGCTCAGTTATATGTACCAGAGATACATATGTGCATGAGTGATTTTCCATTCAGACCAATTGCTTTTGACTGGGAGAAAATGAATTTGCAAATTTTAATGTTAAGTGGTTAGGTCCTTCCATAGTGATCTATAATTTATTCTTTAAATCTAGAGGAGATTTCTGTTTTTTATATATGGGATTATATATAACTGTGTCCTTGTCTAGAATCAAGAAGTGGTGGACTTTGAAAAATTGGAAGACTATGCTTCTGCCTTCCAAGGTCATGATGTTGGATTCTGTTGCCTGGGTACCACCAGAAGCAAAGCTGGTGCGGTAAGGAAGAAATATGCTTTTTCCTTTTTTACTGGCCAGTAATGTCAAGGATTTCTTTTTGCTTACTCTTTTTCTTTGTGCATTTTGTAGTGTTAAATGTAAATAAGCTCTTATTGTTTAAGATTCCATGTGCTGTCCTCATTTTGTTGTACTTTGAATAATACTGATAAATTCATCTTTCTTTCAGGCCTGAGTGCTGGATACATCATAAATATTCACATGATCTTGCTGATAGCAACTATTGCTATCATTACAATATCCCCTGACTAAGGCAAACAGTATCTGAGTAAACGTAATTGACTCATCGGCAGCGAGCTTTTTTCCTCCCTTCCATAATAAATATTTTAAACTTGAAGCATCCCCTCTCACTTGAGTGATTTGCTTCAATTCATTTTCATGCCAAGCCTTAAATTCGTGGGATAGAACATTGGAATAAAGAGGCACGATTCAGCCAGCCCCCAGTGATGACTCAGCCTTCAGCAGTGATTCAGCCCCAGTGATGATTCAGCCCTCACTGACGCAAAACTGTTTTAACACTTTTTATTTTCTTTTTAATGCTGTTTTAAATTGAGTTGGCCTCTGTCCAGAAGTCATAGTTTACTACATAGTTAAAAGTCATGGTTTACATCCTGGGCAAATATTAATACGTCTTCTTTAATTTATAACTGGACTATAGTTTTTCCCTCTGGCAGAATTTTCTTCCTGGAGCCAAATGTTTCTATTAAGTATGCAGGGCCATGATTCTGCCGTGGGACTTAGTATAGGTTTATAAACCAGGCCCTTGTAACCGAATTGTTAGGGGATCATGTGGTGAAGTACTGTTGGTTTATATAAACCAAGTAGTTGTATTTCATTGGACTTCTAGGCAAGCCAAAGGATAATTAGATTTATGCTTTTGGTCAAGGTGTGTTTCCATATCTTTTGCAGTTCTGCATATCTGCACTAGAACGCTATTGGGTTTTGAGCTCTATGCTGTGAACTGCGGTTACAGAGAAATTTGACTTTCTGAGCAATTGGCACATTATGTATCCCTTCTAGAAAGGGTCATGTTCCTGCTCAGCAGCTAGGACAGTCTTTTTTGCCCCTAGGGACCATCATAGCAGTGTGCCCTTTAAAAAGCATCAGAAAAACTTTTGTTCTTGTGCTTTGCAGGTTTCACTGTCTCAAGTGCCAACCTGGTTTTGGTGGTGACTCAGCAAAATTAAAAAAAAAAAAACTGCATTAAGCATAGAGCAGTTGATTTTCATGACATTAGGCAATTCTTGTAGAGCGCTCCAGGGAAAATTCTGAATTGCTTCGATGCGTTTACATTGTGTAATGCAATTTTAATCAGAGAGACTGAGTGTCTTCACTGTTGAGAATATTTTTTAAATGGGGTTGGTTCCCAACTTCTTAGGCCATGAAACTCTTCTTTGGTCGTCCTGTAAAAACAATTTGAAAATATGAAAATAAATAATAAGTAAGCATGGGAAAAGATTAGTAAGCCAGCTAGGCTCAGAAATAAGTTAGGATTTAAATGGTTATGAGGATAATGGCAGAAAGTAACCTGACACTCCCTCTAGGAAAGGCTTTCTTTTTTTTTTTTTAACTAATTTGGATTGGGTGCAACATTCATTTTTGAGGTTGTGATAACTAGGCATTTTAAGGGGTGACTAACATGGGTAAGTAACAATAGTTGTCTAAAGGGGGCTTGTGGGATTGTAAACTCATCCCTGTGAAACTTTTCTGGGCCAGCAGCCCTCTCTGTACCTATGACRAAGCTGGTGACCAGCCAACTGTCATTCAGGAGCTGGTTTGTAATTGGATCACCATTATGTGAGGTGTCCCCCAAAAGCTCATGTGTAAGACGATGCAAGAAGGTTCAGAGGAGAAATGATTGGGTTGCAAGAGTCGTAACCCAATCAGTGAATTAATCCCCTGATTGGGATTAATTGAATGATAACTGAAGTGATAGTGTGTGGCTGGAGGAGGGGGGAATTGGGGCCTGGCTTTGGGAATATATTTGTATCTGAGAGTGGCTGGTTCTGCCTGCTGGTTCCCTCTGCCACACTCTTCCACCCTAATATTCAGCCTCAAACTTAGAGCTCTGAGGAATGGAGCCCGCCTTCTATGGACTAAGACCTCTGAAACTGTAAGCCCTCAAATAAACTTTTCTTCCTTTAAAATTATTCTGGTCAGATCTTTTAGTTACAGTGAAAAATCTGACTAAAACAAACATCTTTTATTTTGCCTTTTAGCAATCTGAGTTTATAGTAGAGAAGGAATTCATGGTTTCTGTCTGCAGTTATTGAGATCTTCTGAGCAATCAGCTGATTTCCTATGCTCACTAGTATATTAGTTTGCTAGAGCGGCCATAACAAAGTAGCACTGGGTGACTTAACCAACAGAAATTTATTGCCTCACAATTCTGGAGACTAGAAGTCTGAGATTAAGATGTCAGAGGGTTGGTTTCTTTTGAGTGCTGTGAGGGATGGGTATATCTCATGGGTTTCTCCTTGACTTGCAGATGGCTACTTTCTCTGTGTATTTTCACATGGTGTTCATATTTTCCCTTTTCATAAGGACATAAACATATTTGATTGGGACTGCCCTATGCAGTACAACTAATTACTTCTATAATGTCCCTGTTTCCAAATAAGGTTACATTTTGAGGTACTTGGGGTTAATACTTCAACATATGCATTTTGGAGGAATATGATTTAACCTATAAAATTCAGTCTACTCTGATTTCTGTTGGAAAAATGCTAGAGTTAAGCCTATTAGCTTTCTTCAGTTGTTTTGAAAACCATTTCCTTTAGTGGTGGCTAGTTATGCTACACTTCCCTTTTACAATCAGGCCACAATAGTCTAGTCAGTGTGGAAGCTCTCTGATTTGGCCCTGGTCTAGATCTGTTGGACCTGAATCTCTGAGGTTGGAAGCTTGGAATATGTATTTTTAGCAGGTTGCTTCGGAGATCCTGATACAACCAACCTTGCTCTTACTGGATCTGCTTTTGGGAGACACTGGGAACTGAATGTATTAATCCTCTTCACTTGCCTGGTAGTCTAAATGGGCTCAGCTTGCTTTAGTGAGTAACTTGTATGCTAATGAAGGTATAGATACCCTTTGAGAACCCAATTGACATTGGCCTTGAAAGAAGACCAAGACTTAAAGACAACACTGAGCATAATACATTTCCCTTTATTTGTCATAAGAGAAGGATTTGTTTGGTGAATTTGAATGGTTTGGTGTTCATTTGTTTCTTTACCTATTAGGAACAGGCTTCAGCAGTCCAGGTTCTTAGATTCTGTTGAATGGATGATGATTTTAATATAATTAATGTAGCCATTGTAATATTTATTAAGTATCATTAGAATCTCATGGCTTCTGATTCTAAAATAAGTCTTCTTCTAATCTAGTTTGCAAACTATGGAATGGGAGCCTAATATAACCTGTCACCTGTTTTTGTATGGCCTTTGTAAATTAAGCATGCTTTCTTATTTTTAAATGGCCAAAAGCTTCCAAAGAATGTCATGCCACATGAAAATATAAAAAATTCAAATTTTAGTATCCATAAAGTAAGTTGCTCATTAAGGTAGAGCTGTAGATGTAACAGAGGCTTGCAAAGCTGATGGTGTTTATTATCTGATCCTTTACTGAAAAAGTTTCCCCACCCCTGTTCTAATTGCTCTTGTTCTATTTGATGTCCAGGAGGGGGCTCATGAAGTAGTGAGGTCTTAACTGTTTCAAAGGACCCAGTTCACAGACCTTATTCAGAAACTAGGTAGATGTAGAACCTTGAGGATGTTGCTTAGCTTCTGTGGACCACCACCCTGTCTATACTAGGCAGGAGGAGACCACTGAAACTCCTTTCAACTACAGAGTTCTGTGACTCTATGCATCATAGAGAAAAAAAAGGACTCAAATGAAGGTACTGACTGACTCAGGAACCCTCAGTGTCTATTTGATTTTATTTTTCTATCTGGAGGTCTTTCTCTAACCAAGATTGTCCTCCCACCTCTGTGTATAACATGTAGAGATGCCCTTCAGGACACAAACAAATGAGGCTCAGATTATACCATACTTTCTTTGTCAGTATCTCTGCTCTCTGATTTAAGTTTGGATTGAAAAAGGAGTGGAAAAGAAAGAACTGGAAACAGAAATATACCTGAGTGAGACCCTTTACAGAATGATAGATCCTCCTTCTTAGGAAAGGACTCTGTGCCCTTCTGTAGTGATTCCAGCTTGCTTTCTCCTCCTGTGAGTCAGCACTGAAGTGCCTTGTTAGGATGTTGTTCTTAAGTGGCAATTTTTTTTTTTTTTTTTTAGTTGTAGTTGGACATAGTAACTTTATTTTATTTATTTATTTTTATCTGGTGCTGAGGATTAGACCTAGCGTCTCGCACATGCTAGGTGAGTGCTCTGTTGCTGAGCCACAACCCCAGCAATATTGCTAATGGTTTTCAGGTATTAGTAAAGAAGACTGGAAGAAATAAAAATCTGGGCTCTTTGAATTTTAATTAGACTTAAAGTAAGAGTAATTGTAGAATTTCTCTTTGGATGTCTGTAGATAGTCTTATTCTGAGTCATAATACATTGTATGCATTGTTTTGAGTGGGTGCTGGGAAAGAAACTTATAGTGGAAACCTATTTAATTAATTACTTTTGCTAGAAGGAACTGTGATTCCTACCTTAGATTAGAACACTGGCTATGGAATTGTTAAAGACACAATAAAATAATGAGTTAGTACTCTGAGAAGAGTCTGTTCTCTTGTGGTTAGGGAAACAGTACAGTTTTTCTGAAATTGTGTTGCAGGGATAATATTTCATTTTTTTAAAACTTCTAACCAGAAGAATAAGAAAGGGAATTAATAAGATTTTAAAGATGGTTCCTTCTATCTGTAAGGAGGATCTTCCTCCCTCCAAAGAAAACTGACATGTTTTTGACATCTCCTAGTCAATCACCCACGCTCCTACCTCAGTTTGATTTCTAAGTCCCTTAAAGCTGTTGACCCTTTTGCTTTTGAGTTTCATTCACAAGCTAAAAGCCCATGCCATCAGGGTGAGGGAAGTGAAATTTAAAATTTAGTGGGCTTGGAAAAATGCGTATTTATAATCAGCTTGAGGGCTCAGAGGATTTGTGAAATCTTTTTGGATTAACAGCCATTGATTGCTCATAAAACAATATTTAGCTTTGTTCAGAGGACGGCAATGAAGAAAGGTATGGGCACCTTGTCATCAGGGCCCATTGAGCGGGGATGATGGGCTGAGGGTGGGGGTCTCTGCAGTAGCGTGGGTGCTCCTCCTTCAAGGAGCGGTTGTCAGTTGTTAGCCAGGCGGGTGAAAGGAAGGACGCTAGAGTCTGATGGCTTGGGGTGGTATTGATGTGCCTTCTTTGGCTAATCAGATTGAAAGAGTCCCATGGCATTTATGTCACTTTAATTTTCATCAAACAATTGGAGACGACAGAACTCTATTAAAGAGAGGTTGATCCAGAACTAAAGCCAAATAAATTAGGGTCTCAGTTTAATCAAATGATCCTCTTCTGGCTCTGGATTAAGTAAGAGAGACAGCGTCGGTCTGGAGGCTTGCGATTGGCTGACTCTTTCTCTTATTTTTAAAGGAGTTGATGAAAAAAAAAACATTTTAACTGAAGTAACTATAATAATCCTTCCAAGCCTTTGTGCTAATACAACAATAAAAAACACAAAATTTATTTCACTTGGCAACTATGTTATTTTATTGTGAATAACAAACCTGTTATGGAAACCACAGTGCTGTGATTTGGAGTGAGAGGAAGAAATAGACATGGAAGAGAAATTCAGTTAGAATTTTCCTATGTAGTTTTGGGTTTTTCTTGGCACACTTTCAGCACGTCTAAAATCTCAATTTGGAGAAAGGCTCTGATAAGAAGTGCTTTCTCTGTCCCTCACTTTCTCTCTCTCTCTCTCTCTCTCTCTCTCTCTCTCTCTCTCTCTCTCTCTCTCTGTTGGAATGAATAAGGGGCACTTAACCACTGAGTCACATCTCCAGCTCTTTTTATTTTTGGAGTGAGAGGAAGAAATAGACATGGAAGAGAAATTCAGTTAGAATTTTCCTATGTAGTTTTGGGTTTTTCTTGGCACACTTTCAGCACGTCNTCTCTCTCTCTCTCTCTCTCTCTCTCTCTCTCTCTCTCTCTCTCTGTTGGAGTGTGCTAAGTGTTAAACCGGGTTTGCTTCAACTGATATTAAAAAACAACAACATGAGTTTGAGTCATCGTTTAGCTCAAGCCCACTTAGGAGTGATTGTCAGAGTATACAATACAAAAGAAGATGGTGATGACTCTTGGGTAAAGAGATGAGTTTATATTACCTAAAATAGAGGAGAAAATTCACATTGCCCTGCAGGTTGACCATAGAGTTAAAAAGGTACTGGTGAGTGATGAGAAAGGAGGACAAAGGGAGGCTTTTACAGTGCTAGTAAAGTTCTATTTCTTGATCTGGGAGCTGGTTACAGAGAATGTTCAGTTTATGAAAATTCATCAAGCTCCCTACTCATAATATGTTTTCTTTTATGATATACTTCAATACAAAGTTTAAACATTTTGTTTAGACCTATTATTATAAAATTAAAATTTCGTATTAGTTTCTTATTGCTGCTGTAATAAATGACCTCAAACTGAGTGGTTAAAAAAACATAAATTTATTATATTATAGTTCTACAGGATAGAAGTTGGCATGGATTCTACCGAGATAAAATTAAAAGGTCAATAGGCTGCATTTGTCTGGAGGCTCCAGGGGAGAATTCATTTCCTTTCCTTTTCCAACACCTAAAGGCTGCCTACTTTCCCTGGCTCATGGTCACCTTCCTTCATCTTTAAGGCCAGCAGTTTTGGGGTGGAGCCTTTTTCACATTGCTTAACTTTAACCTCCTCTGCTGTTTCCCTTTTTCTAGTGCCCTATGATTACATTGAACCCATAATAATTATTTTAAGGTCAGCTGATTAAAGTTAACTTTAGTGGCATCTGCAACATTAATTCCCCTTTACCATGTAGTCTGACATAATTATGGGGGCTTAGGATGTGGCACTCTTCAAGAGACCCTTATTCTGGCTACCAGAATTGTAGACTTACGTTTACCAGCTAGAGAGAGTGTGGAATATAAAGGAACACAGATACAGTGGAAAGAGCACTACTCAGAGTTGGGAACCTGCACTCTGCTCTCAGCTCTGTCACTCCCTAGCCAGTAGTTCACCCACCACTGGATCTTATTCCATCTGCATAATGAGGGGTTTGGATGTGGTATTTCCTAAGGTCTCTTCTAACATTTCTAAGAAAGACACACATTGTCAATGCCAAATTAAACATTTAGAAACCAATAACTACCTCATAAGAAGGATTTAATTTAAGAAAGTCCTTTGGGCAGTAATCTTATCTTCAGATTTGGAATCTCCTCACTGTAAGACCTAATTATATAATTGTGACATTCAGCTTCAGCAGGCTTTTAGTTTCTTCAGTTGTCTCCAGTTTGGGGATGGCAGAATTGGGGGTGGTCCCAAGAGGTTGGTAACTACAGTGGAATCCCCTTTTCAGGTAGAAGTGCATGTCCTTCAGTTGGGTTCTGGCAATGGGTCTATATTCTGGTTGCATCATTCACTCCTCCTCCTTCCATGGCTATTAATTCTGTTCTTTGAGACCAGATTTGCCTTTTCTCTGCTTTCCTCAGATTTTTATTCATCCCTTCAAATATTTTTGAAGCATCAGCCATGTGGTAGGCATATGCTGATGCGGACTTGTGAATGAAGGAGAAAGACTCAGCTTTTGTCGTCACTGGATTGAGTCTAGATCTGGGGTCTCCAAACATTTTTGATCATATGCCTATCAGTATGAAAAACAATTGAGAACACATTCCTCACTGATGTCTAAAGTATATGGCAAAACGTACACAAAGATCGAAAATTAAACAGACTGTTCTCATAATTCCTAGCAAATGGCCTTCATCACAGTTTGAGACCCTACCATGTTAGATTTGACACAAAGAAGAGCAGACTGAGAGGTGGTTCTAAGGTTGTAAATGTGAGGAGAGGATCAAATGCAGGAAACAGAGAAGTGGCTCAATTGTAACATAAGCTTAGACCTCTGGAGGAGGATCCTCCGGCAGACATTGGTACCTGTCTTCTGCTTACAACCTAGTGAAGTTATAGGGGATGAAGGGGTCAAGAAATTTTTGTGGTTAGGCCGTTGCTAGGGGGTTGTCAGGGAAAGGTCCTTGTGGTCATGCTCATTCTTCTTTGTGATGGTCACTGTTCCACGTTGAACAGGGTATTTCAAGATTTCAATCCCAGGTAATAAGTTTCGTTACAGGGTATTGTCTGGGGTTTAGGACAGTATGACTGTCGTTTGGGTCAGAGTGTCTGTGGGGTGACAGTTATTCTAAGGTGGAGGATATGTTTCAAATGGTTTTGCTTAAGTCAAGTTCTCCCTAACAGTAAAGTTACTGAACGACAAAGAAATTGTAACTAAAAGCAGTTTCTCAGCCTGACCTCATTGTTCTCTTTGCTCCTTGAGATTTATTGAGTGTCCATGCTCCAGTGTCATGGTTCTTATTTTTCTGTCCAGCCTTGCTGCTAAGGCTGGTGTGTCTATTTGGAGGGCCACACTTGGAGTCTTTCCCAGGGTCTAAGCCTGACTTTCATGTATTGCTTGGATGCATTTTATTTAGATCCCCATCCCACACCCCACACTCATCTCCTCCAAACCTGCCAACCAAGCTAGGTAGTAATCTTTAAAATGAAGTTGCAACATTTTGGAAATAACTCACATCCTTTTCCCCCTCAGGAGGGATTTGTTCGTGTTGACCGAGATTATGTGCTGAAGTCTGCAGAGCTGGCAAAATCTGGAGGGTGCAAACATTTCAATTTGCTGTCTTCTAAAGGAGCTGATAAGTCAAGCAATTTTTTATATTTACAAGTTAAGGTTTGTACACATTTCTACCTTTACTATACTTTGGGCTAATTGACAGTACTAAATAATACAAAATACTATATAATATTTAAAGAGCATTAAACACATTATGTTATACATTTTCCATAGCTACAGGAACTGTTTTTGCAGTAAAATATTTAGGAAGCAAGAGTAATTTGAAAGATAATTTCTGATGTCTTCCCCCTTATTAATTATCCATTGATCGGGGGATGGGCTATGGAAGCTCTACCCCTGAATGTCAGCGAGGCATCTTGGCATTGGAGGAGGCTTGGAGGCAGTGAGTTTTAAACTATTCCCTTGGTTTCCCTTATGGCAGAGAGGAAGGAGCTTTGATTTCTGGAGATTTGGGGACATTTACCCTGAAACATTCTCCTAATTACAAGCTCAACTTTCTTAAAAGTCTTTCTTTTTTAAAAGATTCATGTACAGACAAGCATGATGGCACACACCTCTAATCCCAGTGACTTGGGAGGCTGAGGCAGGAGGATTGCAAGTTCAAAGCCAGCCTCAACAATTTAGTGAGTACTTGAGAACTTAGTGAGACCCTGTCTCAAAATAAAAAATAAAAAGGGCTGGGAATATAGCTCAGTGATAAAGCACTCTGGGCTCAATCCCCAGTACAAAAAAAACAAAAAACAAAAAAACAAAAAAACCCCACAAAACAACAACAACAACAAAAAACACATACATTTTGCTATTCTCAATACAATATATATCCTTGCTTATTTTAATAAAGTTTCCATTTCCTAATCTTCCAGTGAAATTGTTGCTGCAGGAAGTGAGACCATGGTTTTACATTTTTGTCCTTCCTGATGCACTCTACATGCCTATAGTGTAAGAAGCAGGGCTGTAGTGTTTGGACAAAGATATTTCCATGGGAAATCTTTCTACAGAAGTCCTCTGGCTTCTGCTTAAGTACCTCACCTTGTGTTTTAGTCAGCCTTTTTGCTGCTGTGACTAAAGGATCTGACCAGAACAATTCTAGAGGAGGAAAAGTTGATTTAGGGCTCACAGTTTCAGAGGTCCATAGGCATTGAGTTCCATTTCTCAGGGCTCCAGGTGAGGCAGAAACAACATGGCAGCAGAGTGTGGCAGAGGATAGCAGCTCACATAGTAATCAGGAAGCAGAGAGAGAGGGAGAGAGAGAGAGGAAGAGAGAGAAAGAGAGACTGATTCCATGCACCAGATACAAAACATATACTAGAGAGAGAGAGAGAGAGACAGACAGACAGACACACTGACTGACTCCATGCACCAGATACAAAATATAAACCCAAGCCACGCCCCAATTCCCACCTCCTCCAGCCACAACCCTACTACTTCAGGTACCACTCAGTTAATCCCTATCAGGGGATTAATTTCACTGATTGGGTTAAGACTTTTACAACCCAGTCATTTCTCCTCTGAACCCTCTTGCATTGTCTCACGTGAGCTTTTGGGGGACACCTCACATCCAAACCATAACACCTTGCTCAGATCCACTTGTCAAGTTCCTATCTTGAGGTGAGATCAGCTGCTTTGTACATGCTAATTGTTGTTTGAAAATAACAAAAGCAAGCCCAGTCTTTCTTTGGCATTGTTATCTTTAAGATATTTGGAAATTAAAGTTGACTTAATTGTATTTTTACCACACACAACACTTTTAAGTCCTTGTACCCTTCTTTATTAGTTTCTGTTTCTTCTTTCTGCTTTTTTAAGGTATGGAGATGGAATCCAGTGGCACTCTATTACTGAGTTATATTCCCAGTCCTTTCTGTTTTTTTTATTTTGAGATGGGGGTCTCACTAAATTGGCAACACTGGCCTGGAACTTGAAATACCCCTGTCTCGGCCCCTGGAGTTGGTGGGATTACAGGCATAAACCACTGCCCAGCTATCAGTTACCCTGGTCACTTTGCTGAGTGAACTTTACCATGTTGTTATATTGGAATTGCAGTGGAACTATTGCCTTTCATTCTCTGGAAACAATGTTATTTTTWAAAAAAATATTTTTTTGTTGTAGGTAGACACACAATATCTTTGTTTCATTTTTATATGGTGCTGAGGATCAAACCCAGTACCTCACACGTGTTAGGCGTGCACTCTACCACTGAGCCACAACCCCAGCCCCTGTTATCTTTTTAAAAGAGAAATATTACTATTTGAGTAACTATCTTTGTCATGTATTGCTCACGATCAGTTTGTGATTAGGAATGTTTCTAGATTTTTTTTTTCATAGAGCTCAGAACTCATAGCTAATCAGTAGCTCTCCTATCCAAAAATAGTATTTTGAGGCAGATGAAGACCAGTGAGCCACCAATGAAGTTAAATCAACAATGGAAAAGTTTCTGGGGAATGACACTGATCATATTATGTTATGTACATGTACTAATATAGCCTAATGAATCCCACTATTATGTACGATTATAATGCACCAATAAAAGGAATAGAAATATTTCAGTTTAATGGTTAGAGTTTAGAATAATACTTAAAAGAAAAAAAATTTTTAAATATTCATATTGGTTCTGAGAAAGATTATCAAACAATTTTTTTACTCTCATTAGCAAGAAAAACATTCCTTTTAGGAAAGGAAATATATACATTTGTTCATCTTTAAAGATAAAGGAATCACTACTACCTACTCTGTGGGTTGTCAGATTCAGTCAGACAAGAAAAATAGCAAACATTGTGTTCTAAGGGTTTTTCTGTATATTTGTGTGGAAACTGAGTGTCATGATCTTAAGATCACCACTGATAGTGATAGGGCTGGGACCCAAACCCAGGCAGTCAGATGCCAGTGCATGTTGCTAGGCATTAGGCAATGAGTAGTCTTTATCATTAGTACATGTGGAAGGACCTAGCACAGGGCCTGAGCTATGACAGAGCCTTAGCAAATATTACTAATGCCAACAGGATGGAAAGAGAACTTTTTGTTCACTGAAGTTGACCTGCATTGCCTGCAGCATGAGTTTATGAGTTAGATTAATTAAAAGTAATTACAACCAAACTGTCATCCCAGAATGATACTAGACAACATAGCTGTGTCTAGAATTTGGAAAGATGATCTTTATTGAATAATCCTTCAACTACTGTGTGTGTTATTTTGGTGTTTATCATTTATGTTCTCAATCTACTGTGTGTGAATTCTCCCTCTTTTCCAGTTTTAGAAGCTCCTTGATTCTTTAGGAGCATTTGTTTTACTCATTATCTTTTTAAACTGCATTCATTATGGAGGCCTGGATCAATCACATACTTTCATGGGTATGCTGCTGATGTGGTGGGGGAACTGTTGGGGTGTGGAGCCAGAGCACTAGACTGGCCTCATGTTCTATGTCTATAAACTTCAGTTCTTCATCTGTTTAATGTCTATATGTATTTAAAACATTGTCTATATGTATTCTCACTGCCTTTTGAAACTTGCTAAGAAGTGAATGATACAGATGGACATCTATGGGATTACTTCTAATACAAAAGAGGTACTCAGTCTCTACTAGCCTGCAGTATTGATCCTGAGCTTAAGTGAGATACTCTAGTGATATCTCTTTTAGTGTCAGAAGACTGACTGACTGACCATACTGCCATCACTCATTCAGCAAACTGTTTTTCATTCTCTACTACTTGTCAGGATTAAATAATTTCTTCCTTAACTTCCCAAGCTCTTTGGAATCTAAATTGCTAGATAAGGATTTAGACCTGCAGAAGCTGATTATCTTTAAAACTCCAAATTATTCTCTCTCAAGCTTTACATGAATTTATCTTGATTAAATACTGAAAGCATGCTTTTTCTTACCAGGGAGAAGTAGAAGCCAGGGTTGGAGAATTACAGTTTGATCGCTACTCCATATTTAGACCTGGGTAAGTATGCACGTTACTCGAGCTGGTTAGTCCCTGGAAGCCAGTTTCTCATTTGGAGAGGCTGACATCCAAGATGCCTGTGATAGGAAGGAATTAGGTGGGGGCGTAGACTGCTTCTCAGAAGGACCCACCTTTTGGCTTTGAAAGAAGAGAGATTCCAGGGCTAGCTTCAGAATAATCTGGACCTTCCAATGTGGCATTTGTTGCCTACTTTAAAAAAAAAAATTTAAATTCTGTATTATTAATATTTTTTACTTTCTTTTTAAAATTTATCTTCTGCATCAAATAAATCCATATATAAACTGGTAGTATGCTCAGACTTCTGTAATAAAATTCCACAGCCTGAGTAGCTTAAACAACAGACTTACTTTTTCATGGTCTAGAGGTTGGAAATCCAAGATCAGGGTGCCATCAAGGTTGGTATCTGGTRAGGCCTCTTTTGACTGACAAATGGCCACCTCACTGTGTCTTCACATTGCCTTTCATGTGTGCAAGGAGATATCTCTGATTTCTCTTTCTGTTCTTATAACATTGGCAGTCCAATGGGATTAGGTCTAGCTCATCCTTAAGATCTCATTTGAACTGAATTACCTCCTTAAAGGCCGGACTTTAAATGTTACATTGGGCATTAGGGCTTCAACCTCCAAATTCTGAGGGATACCGTTCATTTTAAACACTCACTATGGTCTGGATGCAAGTTATTAGAACTTTCCCTGCTTTTCTTTTTCTCCTTAGAGTTCTGTTATGCAATAGGCAAGAATCTCGCCCAGGTGAATGGTTGATTAGGAAGTTCTTTGGCTTCTTACCAGACTCTTGGGCCAGTGGGCACTCTGTGCCTGTCTTGACTTTGGCTAGAGCAATGCTGAACAACATGGTGAGACCAAGTGACAAGCAGATGGAAATTCTGGACAACAAGGCCATCCACGACCTGGGGAAAGCTTATGGTGTTCTCAAGCCATGACCACACTGGAGAAGCACTTTTGACTGCAGACCTCAACATCTATCACTAAATCTGTAATTTCATGGCCTTGAAAGAATTTGTGTGCTTTTCCTTGGTTGTTTGACTATTCTCAGCCACACAGATCCAATCAGGACATGACTTTGCTCTGTATTGGTGGCTTATGGCCTGATTATACATGTGGATCACTCAGGAAGCTTTTGAAAAATGAGATTTATAGGCCCTGTTTCAAATCTTCTGAATCAGAATGTGGGGGATGTGGGCATAGGAATCTGTGGTTTTATTTTGCTTAAAATTCCTCTGATGGTTATGGGAGAGAGCTTTGAGACACTCCTCTGCAATCACAACAGCAGTGTAACCCCTATGTGCCATGCAGACGAATGCTGTGGTAAAACTTGACATTTTTGTTCTAATTAATAGCATATAACTGAGTAAGTGAACACTATGCCTTTACTACTACTTTAAATATATAATAAAAAATTAACAGTTTATATAGTTCATGGGAGAATTAAATAGGGCAATGAAAATAAATGCACAAATCCTGGGTGCCTCTTCAATGGTTTGAAAATATTAGTTGTATTAGTGGTGATGGGCAGCTTTTGGGCCAATGCAGTGATATAATAACAGCTATCATTTATCAAGTGCTGGCTATGTTCCAGTCCTTACATATATCATCTATGCTTTAACCTTCCAAACAATCCTTATAAAATGATATTGTCCATTATCACCTTTTCTCCTTTTTTTTTTTTTAAATTCTTATATCTTAGATGGGGAAACTGATGCCTTATTTAGGGATCCACAGCTGAAGACCTAAAACTAGGAAATGGCAGAGTCAGGATTCTAACCCAGCTCAGCCTATTAACCACTCAACAAAAGAATCCCRTGTCTGTATATTTCCAGGTGGTTCCAATGAATTGTTAGTACATGTCATGGATGAATAAAGTTGAAATATTTGGGTTCTTCATTGGTCTATGGTCCTTATTATTAATCAGGATGTTCACATGGCGAGTAAGAATCTATGGCACTGAACTTCAAAGGGCTCAAGGTACTGTACCTCTGAAACTATGGCAAGGGAAAGGAAGATGCACAAGGAAAGGCTAAAGCCAAGAGGAGCACATGGTGCTAATTATCATGGAACAAAGGAAGGTGGTAAAATTTGTCTTATGTGACAATTCGGTCAGCTGTTTTCCTATTGTATGCCAACTATATTTCAAACTTCAGTGGACACTGGAWGATAAAGGCCATCCCCTTTAATAGCAGGTATACATTCTCAGAGGAGTTTGGGCATTCCCGATGTCATTCATTCAGAAGACAGGTATCGGCTAGTGCAGGGTGGTATCTTCAACTGTGAGATTTAAGGAGAAAGCATATCCTGCCAGTGGGCTTCCCTAGCAGCTGAACTTTGCAGACCCCAAGTATATTTTGGTGGTAACAGGCATGGGCTTCAAGAAGTGAGGGAGACCTTAGGGGTACCCATGAAGATATGCTGAGCACTGTGGGCTCTGAAAGCAGACAAACCCAGCAGATGGGTTCTATCATTTCTTTACCCACAAACCTTCAACAAGACTTGTTCAAACTTGCATTCTGGTCTCAATAGTAAAGTAGGCTGATGGAGAAGGATCTGTTTTCATCTTTGGAGCAGAAAGAAAAGCAGCCTGCTCCCAAAGTCCTGCATTGTGTTGAGATGTGAACTTCAAGGAACAAGGCCCAATCACCCCTCCAGAGGTCAGCAATGAATGATTGAATTGTTACTAAGGAATTAAGTGCATTTCCTCCCACATATACTGAGAAAATTGGGCCTTGCTGGACAAAGAGTTTATGTTGGAAGAATGAAGGGGAAAAGTTGGCTGGGTGGCTGGGATGTATAGTGAAAGGTTTTTAATTCATTAAGAAAATGCTAGTTTAAGTTCTTCTTTTCCTATAGTTAGTTATTCCTTTAATTTCTTTCGCCTAATTACTCTGGCCAGTGCTTCAAGAACTATGTTGAATATAAGTGGTGAGAGAGGGCATCCCTGTCTTGTTCCAGATTTTAGAGGGAATGCCTTCAGTTTTTCTCCGTTTAGAATGATGCTAGCCTGAGGAAATGGATGGCATTAGAGCAGATTATGCTGAGTGAAGTTAGCCAATCCCCCCCAAAACAAATGCCGAATGTCTTCTCTGATATAAGGGGGGTGACTCAAAATGGGGTAGGGAGGAAGAGCATGGGAAGATTACCTCTAGGTAGGGAAAGGGAAGGAGAGGGGGAATAGCATGGATGGTGGAAGGAGACCCTCATCGTTATACAAAATACATGTATGAAGATGTGAGAAAAAAAAAGAATTAGATTAGGTAGAGAGAAGTGATGGGAGGGGGAAGGGAGAGGAGGGGGGAATAGAGGATAGTAGAATGAAACAGACATTATTATTACTGTGTGTATATATGTGACTGCATCACCAATATCATTCTGCAACTTGTACACTCAGAAAAATGAGAAATTATATCCCATCTGATTCAAATGTATGATATGTCAAATAAAAAAAATTTTAAAAAAAGTTTATTTCCAGGCCTTGGGAATACCTCCAATGAACAAGTTAACCCAAGGAAACCAGCATATGTTCTGGTAATTTCCTACAATGAAAGGGGGTATCCAAACTAACATTTGATGGTTTCTGTCTTCCAGGATTTTTACAGTTAAAAGAAATGAGTACATTAAAAAAGAAAAAAAGTTTAGTAATACGTAAGTTCTCATTTCCCATTCAGTAAATGTATTCTATGGGCTAGGTCACCTAATATGTGAAGAAATGAAAGCAAAAATATATTGTCTTTATCCTTATAGTATAAACTGTTGTGGGTAAGTAAATAAATAAAACAATCAAATAATCATGGTAGGCATTAAGAAAAAAACTAACTTGCTGCTCCTGCAATAACAGAGGAACCTATTTTAGGAATGGTGGTGCAAGGAAAGTCTTTCTGGTTGAGACCAGAAGGGAGATCTACCATTTGTAGAGCTTTCAGTGATGAGCAATAAATAAAAGTTTTAAGCCTGGGACCCAGATAAAGGACTAGAGTTGAACCGGAATGTTAGGCAGGATCATGGAGGGCCTAGTAGGCTTTGGTCATCAATTTAAACATACCAAGTACAGTGCTAGCATCTGGGACTTCAGCTTGACCCTACCTGGTAAAACTGCTGCCACTCAAAAGACAACTCTAGGCCCTAAGTAACCTTGTGAGACCCTGTCTCATAAAAGAGGGATAGAGATATAGCTCAGTAATAAAGCACCCACTGGATTCAACCTCCAGTACAAGGAAGAAAAAAAAAAGGGGGGGGGGAGGGACCATAAGTCAAATTTGTTTTCTTCCCCACACAGCAGCCAGCACGTTTTTTTCCCTAAACATCTGATAGCAAACCTTGCTTACACCAGTCACCTGTTTTCCTTGTTGAGGCTAAAGTTAACACTTTGTGTAAGTACTTAACATGCGTAACTCGTTTTATCCTCACTAAATCCCTCAGGTTAGCGCAGGTAACTTACTCAAAAGAGACCATACAGGGGGCTGAATTAGGATTCAAACCCAGTAGACTAGCTCTAGTTCATGTTCTCAGGTGGAGCCTGGCAGGGAGGATGGAGGAGGTGTCGGGTGCGGGTCGCGGGTCCTCTTGGGGCATTTGGCCCCATCTGGTGTTTAGGGTGCACTCACACTACTAAATTCCTCTTCCCAGCGGCATTCAGCATGGACCTGGGAGCCGGTGGCCCAGCCCTTTTCTGCGTTAGCCTCCTACGCCACCAGAGGGCGCCGCGGGCTGGGTGCCTCTCCACTAAGCTCTCATCCCAGCAATAATGGACACAGACGACGCGATGCGCCAGTAAAACCGCTGCGGCGGCGTCTCTCCACTTCTTAGCCSGGCGCGTAGCTCCGGCTAAGGCCCACTGGTGCTGGAGCAGCAGGCAAAAGTTACCTCCAAGCACGCAACATCCAGTATTCGTTGCCAAGCTTCCGCGGTGYGCACTGCGTCAAGCCTGCGGCAGGAGGAGGTGGGGCCCGAACCCTCGCCCCGCCCTGCCCACCCATCGCACGTGACCGGTACCGCGGCCTCAAGGCCGGAAGCGCTAGTGGCCTGGTGCGCGCTCTCGAGTTCCCCGGCATCTGCAGGGTTCTTCCTTCCGGGACCTTGGCCCGGTCGCGCGCTCGCGCTCGTTCCCGGGGTCCCGGCCCTGGGCTCGGCGCCGGCTGCGCGCGCACGCTGCCTGCCGGTCCCCGCCCCCAGGCACGCCGCTCTCCCTGGGCGCCTCCGCCATGTGCTCGTTAGCGTCTGGCGCTACCGGTGGGTATCCCAGCGCCGCAGCACTGGGCTCTCCCARCCTCAGGCCTCGCCGCGTGAGGCAGGTGGGGGACCGCCCCCGCCCGCGCGCCCTCCAGGACGCGGTCCCGGGCGGCGGGGCCTAGCAGGGAGAATGGAGGAGGTGCCGGGTGCGGGTCGCGGGAGGACGGGGCGGGGGAGCGCTCGCCCAGGGAGAGCCCTCCGCCCGCCCCGCTCCTCGCCCTCCGGGGTCGCACTGGTGTCCCAGGCAGATCTGATCGTTGTGCGTGTATTAGGCGGCCGGGGCGCCGTGGAGGATGAGGAGGACCTGCCAGAACTGTCGGACAGCGGTGACGAGGCCGCCTGGGAGGATGAGGACGTTGCAGAGCTCCCCCACGACAAGCAGCAGACCCCCTGCCTGTTCTGTAACAGGTTCGTCCACCTCAGCGCCCAGCCTCAGACCTAGGGTGCCCCGTCGCTTGGGGTCTGTGTGTTCTGCAAGGAAAGACTGGTTCAGAGTTGAACCAGTCCTGTCCTTGAATTCTTGAACCAGTGCTTTGGGGTGATGGCGTGTAGAAGAGGAAGACCCACAGTGGTTTAGAGGGAGGAGCCATGAACTGGAAGCCAGGTTATCCTACTGATCCTCAACCGGCCTCAGTTTCTTCCCTCTKTGTAAAATGAGACGGTTTTGGATTGGATTTGTGGTTTCCAAATCTGGTGTGCACCCTTTCCACCAAAGATGCTTAAATACTGATGCTAAACTCTTCACCCCAGTCCTTTTTTTTATGTTTTTTTTTTTATAAGGACACATTTTGATACTATGTTAACTAAATACATGCTCAAGGTTGGAAGCCACACTGAACTAGGTAATCCCTAAGGACCTTTCCATTTTTACTGTCCTGTAATTTCTTGACCAACCAGAGCTTCTCAGGGGTAACATTTCACTTTGAACCATTTAACTGGTCTTAGTTCATGTTTCTTAAGTAGTGGCTCCCCATCTGGTGAGGAAGGAATAGATGCCTTTTTCACTTAGGAAAAGAGATTGCAGTGTCTATAACTTGTTCAAGGTCACAAAGGTGTGGTGTTTTTGTTGTTGTTCCCCAAAACATATTCCACTTAAAATTCTGCCTCACTCTCAAGAAACTTTGGTTTTGGTTGCTATGGTTAAGTGAACATGAAAGAGGCCCGATTTGTGTTGGTCATCATTACTTTAATAAATATTGTCTGTTGTGCCCTATATCTGGGCATAGTCCTGATTGGTGGTATGTTAGTTCTGGAGTGTAGCCTCATGGATAGGTAGAAAGTCTGCACATACTCTCGTTATCATAAAGTCGTATATAGAGAGAGGACATCAGTGATGCAGCATTCTGTGGTAGACTACGTAAATACTGCAGATAACCCATCTTGGTAAACATTTGTTGAAAAGTAAACACTGCATATGTGCTAGGCACATGGAAGAGGAATGCAGCATCTCTGCTGTATATTTCTATCTTGGGTATCCTTTAGTTTGGCAGGTCTCATAATAAAGAGGCTTGGTCCTCCCCCATTATTTGAAATGCAGGTACAATACAAGATCACTTTTGAAATATGGCACTTAGAGAATGTGCCAGCTGTAAAATTACATTTTATGCTTTATTTCTAAAAGCAGATGAGCTGTGTCAGATCAAAGCCTCTGAAACCAAGAGTTG